TCTCTCTCTCAACTTCTTAATCTTCTCTTGTTCATTTTTCTGGTTTTGCATCTAATCTCAAGCAGTCCTATACTTCAAGAGGACTGTTTTCAACTGATTTGATTCCAATGCAATGTCTGTCAGCTTCAATATTTAATCTTTTTGGATTCTTGAAGAATTAAGTTTTGTTTAGCCTAACCCATAAAAAACTAATCAGCATAAAGGTCTTCAAGTTGTTACATTTCAGTGGCTCCCATTCTTCTAGATAAAGTAAATTATCTAATTATAAATTATAATTAATTTAGGTTGTGTTTAGATAAGCTTAAGGATTTGTGGTTTCAAAGCTCAAAAGCATAAAACCCCAATTTTAGGCTTTGAGATTTGAGGCTTGAAGGCGGTTGGGCTTTAGACTACAACATTTTTAAAGGCAACTCTTATCAACCCATCAAAACATTTTATGGCTCACTTTTCTTTTTCACAGCCCAAAGCTAAAAGCAAAAGCTTATCCAAACCGAGCTTGTCTCCTAAGTGAAGTAAAAAACTGAACTTGAATGCATCCAGATTTACAGATTGGATATGCATGGATCTCATAGTACAATGACATGCACTTTCCCAGTACCAAATTTGGGTTCATTAACTAGTACAAGAAATAGTTTTTATTGCTTATCATAGACTTCATAGTACATTAGCCAGCACAGGGAAACAATAATCAGATCAGACTGTCCATACAGGGACCAATTCAGTGGATAACTATACTTGATTTGCATCATTTTAAATGGTAACCTTCTCCAATATAGTTTTCTCTAATAGTTTTAAAGGTTTGGAAGTTAATCCATCTTAATTTGCTTCATAAGTACTGCAATCAAACAAAATAAGCTGAAATTTGAAACAACAATAGGCCAGAATTTACACTCAAATCATTTGCACTGTCATGGTTTTGCATCAGTACAAATTTATTTGCATTGCAACCAAACACAGCCTAAACTTCAGTTGTCAAAAAAAGAAAGGAAGTTATCTTAGGGCATGTTTGATTTGAAAGAAAAGGTGCGGAAAGGAAGGGAATGGTAGGGAAACCCATACAAGTTATCTAAGGCGTTCAATAAGCAGTAGGTCCAATACAAGGTGGGGATATGCTAAGGTTCTGGAAAGATGTCCAAATGAGCTCTGCTTGGTGAAAATTTTGGACTAGTCACCAATCACCATGTCTCTCCATCTGGTTGAAAGATAAAGGAGAATACAATAGTATTCTAAAACAAAATCCTTTTGTTTATAATTTATTGGCATATGTTCCTTCTATTCATTGATTTATAGTTATCTTCAACAAATGAAATCTAGATAGAGAGTAGATAACTTTGTTTGCAAGAGGGTATCACCAGAAACTACAATCACAAGCCCAACATGCACACACAGATTTGGAGATCTAAACCAATTCAATTTTAGCCAAAAGTTGACAATTTACACTCTAAGCTGCTCAAAACATGCCTCGAGTTTTGAATCTCCAATACTAGCAGAGAGAGAGAGAGAGAGAGAGAGAGATCCCAGATGATGCTTAGCTTCTGAGCACCCGCCAAGCACTTTCTTTTCTCCTTATCCAATACCAAATGTCCAAGAACGATGCCCCATCTCATTGAGATCAAGAACCAGCCCTGAATCAAAACCATTCAATCTTTTGACTAGCTAGATTTTAATCGTAACCACCAATGGCCATGCAATGTCTGCAACTCTGCAATGTCAGAGACTTAATCCGTTATGCATGCATTGCCCAGGTGACATCATTTAACTATTTAAGGCTCCCCACAGTCACAAACCTGGAATGTGTACAAGAAGAGAGTGACAATCAAGCTCTTTCTGAATCTAAAGAAAGAACAAACGAGTGAGTCATCTGGTGTCATCAAAGTCTTCAGCCCCATTTCTATATATCCCAGATGGTCACACTTAGCCTTATCTTTGGCCTGGGTAAGGGATTCTATCGAGATTAGACCAAGAATGGTGATTGGGTAGCAAAAAAAATTGAAGTAACAATAATTAATATTTATGAGATACAATTCCAAAGCTCTTGCCTGTCTCCCTAAAGAAGTACCATTTTGGTTACACAAGAGAAAAAAAAACGAAGAGAAATGCCAGTGTTATTCCTATGCACAAGTCTAATGTTCAGCTGGTTACTAATATAAGGGTGGCTTGAAAATAAGTGTTTGATGGTTTAGTCTTTCTATTAATGGTCAAAGAGAGTAGGCTTCCCTAATTTGAAGCTTGAGGTTCTAGAACTCTGGAAAAACAACATAGTTAGAGAGTTTGCATCTAATATGCATATCATATAAGCACATAAATAAGTTCTTTTTTGAGAACAAAAAAGAATTTAGCATTTTTGTATTCCAAAAAAATGTGGAAAGAAATAAATTGTCAAATAAAAAGGTAGAAAACACAAATAATGTGGATATATTTATAATAAATAAAATTATTATTTTGGATAAATAACGCAGACATATACATAAGTGCAAGTATTCTATAAACTAAACATATTTATCTATGAAGTATGAAAGATTTTCGTTCTCGATTTTACTTAAACCTAACAAACACAAAAACGCCTTTATCCGTTCTTTTCAAGTAGGATGTTTGTTAGGCTGAACTCCTCACCATACACCAAAAGAAGCTACATCTTTCAAAAAACCACCATCAAAATTAGCTTTTAACTAGCCTGACTCCAGTGGGATCCAAAAAGATTGATGGGGACTGGAACTGCCACTAGCAGTTACTGGGGTTGTAGAAGGAATACTCCGATAAATTGCAACCCTTCAAATCTTCAGAACTAAGGGAGTCAACCCAAACCCTCCATCAGTTCCTCAAATTACCAGAGTTACTAATGTCATCCACTCTCAAACCCAAATTACTAAACCAAGAGCACCTTGCATGTTACAGAGGAAAAGCACATCATGATTGTTTCTTGCTCATAACCACATAAAACATAGGAAGGACCACCAAACACCCCCTCTGTTATATCCAACTGGGCCCAAAAAACTAAGCAAACATTATCATAAAGTCATTTGCATCTCTCACTATGCCTTCTACACCTGACTCCCCCCTGGAATCCCGAAACAGCACCCATCAAAGCTAAATTTGACCCTTCCAGCAGTTGGGAACCACTCCATCAGTCTTTTCTGTCTGGTAGCTTGAAAGCAGGATGTAAATTGCCACCCTCTTAGTAAATCATTCACTGAACCGCTTTTGATCTCCTCACATACCGTTGTCCAATGTGTCACTCTTATCAAGGTAAGCTCGTAAAACTCCTCAATCCTCTTGTACTTTTCTTCAGAAGTTTTAGCATTCCTCTCACACCACAGTCCCCATAAAACAGATCCCCTCAAATACTTCCACAATATTTTGTCTTTGAGAGAAGCACTTCAACCAATTTGGGGTGAACAGATCCAAGACAACGTTTCGGTTGGGGCTACCCAATCACTTCCTTCTAAGGAAAATGGTTTAAGCAGTGAAAATGTTATTATTAAATGTTTTTCAAAGAAAAGATAATAGACAAGGTTGAATTGCAATGAAAATGTTTGATTTTGGAAAAAAAATCATTGTATAAGGATATAGTATTAAGCATGCGATTTTGTATTCATGATTCAGGCAAATCTAATCTGGCTCCATGGTTTAATTTTTGTTCAATTGGAGATCCAACACTTACCAAGCATGGAGCATAGTTGTCAAGGCGACGCCTAGGCAACAAGGCGCCCTTTGAGGCTCGCCTCGCCTAATCGCCAAGAAGTTTTCTACTTCCTACTGTAAAATACTTTTTTATTCATTCTTTTTTGAGATTATAATTATAAAATAGACATTATTAAACTGAAATAATCATTTTATGTGTTTATATACTAATTTATTTTTATTATTTTCTTATTTATTAGGGTTTAATCTACACAAACATTGCTAAATTCTGTATTGAACCCTCAAAGTATTAAAACCTGAACTTAAAATTTTATCTAATCAGCGCATTTTCTACTACTACTACTACTACCACCTAGCCTCACCTTGGCACCTTGAAAACTATGGCACAGAGAATAGTTTTAGTGGTATTATTCATCTTCTTTCTTAAATAAACAAACTAAAATGAACATAAAAAATAGTTCAAACCAGACTTAAGCCTTGAGCATTATAACTTATCATACCTCAACAACTTTTCTCATTGCTTCCTTGTGTGCATCTGGCATATTGTACCAAGATATCTAGTTGATGGGTGTCATACACGACATCCTCACCATGGTTCCGATAAAGTGAGTGAAAGTGCTTGCTGCATCACCAATTGGTTTCCCATCTTCATTCAATTCGACAATGACTCGGTAATCTTTGGGGAAATTCCACAAATCTTCCAAACGTGTCTGACCACGAGTCTTTCGAGGTTGCATGGAACCCTCTATAAAATTGTGTATAATGTTAAAATTTTAGTAGTTTATAAGGTTAGCAAGAATATGGTAAAAAAATTATGACTGCCATCATATATACCTGGCATGGCTTCTGGTTCTGTTTGAGATTGTGATGATGTAGCAATCGGTGAGGTCACAACTGTTTGAGGCTGCTCACGTGGTTCAGGTTGGATGTGATCGGAACTAGAACTGATGTAACCGTTTCTGGTCACGTACCAATTTTTTTTGTGATGTACCAACTTTTGGGCTAAGTACCTCGTCATTTGACCTGCTCCCAGGTGGCCTATGACTCAGAGGATGATGGAGCTCCCTGGTGGCGAACTGCCTGGTGACGAGCTCCCTGGTGGAGAGTTACCTGGTGGAGAGCTACTTGGTGACGAGCCCTGGTGGAGAGCTACCTGGTGACGAGCTCCCTAGTGGAGAGCTACTTGGTGACGAGCTCCCTGGTGGAGAGCCACCTAGTGACGAGCTCCTTGGTGGAGAGCTACCTGGTGGCGAGCTCCCTGGTGGAGAGCTACTTGGTGACGAGCTCCCTGGTGGAGAGCTACCTAGTGACGAGCTCCCTGGTGGAGAGCTACCTGGTGGTGAGCTCCCTGGTGGAGAGCTACTTGGTGACGAGCTCCCTGGTGGAGAGCAACTTGGTGACGAGCTCCCTGATGGAAAGCTACTTGGTGACGAGCTCCCTGGTGGAGAGCTACCTAGTGACGAGCTCCCTGGTGGAGAGCTACTTGGTGACGAGCTCCCTGGTGGAGAGCTACCTAGTGACGAGCTCCCTGGTGGAGAGCTACCTGGTGGCGAGCTCCCTGGTGGAGAGCTACTTGGTG